AACCACTAAACATTCCACCATTAGAGATACACGTAGAGCACCCCCAGCATGATGTCACTGCAAAGTATTAATAGAAAAGTGTGTGTGCGCCTCACATCAGCCTGACCCTGGGCCCTTGAGGTGCTCCCACTGCACATCTCTAAGCTATAAATCCTATTAGTCAGGGATTCTCTCTCTCAGGCATTTCCCATTTCCCTTTCATTCAGGTGTTACGTGTGAGAAACCAGACTTCCTGTTCCCACAATGCATTTCTGTGGATACTCTCCCCAATCTGCACGTCACTGTTTGAGAAATATACCTACAGTGTTTAAATAAAGTGAGGAAATAACAGTATTAATCCAAGGTGAATTATGTAAGTTTTCTGGAGGATTCGTCAAATGCTATTTTTTATTGCTTTGTCTGGAATGTTTCACAGTGTGATATAAAACCTTTCTATATTCATGGAGACCAAGCCAAACCAAGTTACTGGTCAGGTCTGTGGAGAGGCGACCCCACTCAAAGTCAGAATGCCTGTTTTTTATAGGGATTTTTGAGCTGTTTAATCATACTGTGGAACATTCCAGGCAGAGCAATGACATAAACATAGAAAGCAGGTGACAGACCCCCAACCAAAAAGTTACATAGTGTGCCTTTGAGTAAGTATGAGAAGGCGATATTTCACATAACAAAAAATACTTGGTGTGGTTAAAAATAACACTTGAAAAATGTATTAAAATAGTTAAAATATAGTGAGTATGTGACTTGTGTTTGTATGTGTTTCTTGCACATATCAGGGCTATGTGCAAGAAATGGGGTAAGGGCCATTTGTTAAGTAGTTTTATAATATTTAATACAGATCGGGGAAAGCTTTTCATTGGATATTGGTGGTAACAGAGCAAGTTCTTGGGTCAAGTCAGTAGTAGAAATGATCAGGTTCAACATTTGTCATTTTCCTTTTTGGATGTTTTCTGATCCACAAGGGAAATTAACTGGACACAGTAGTTCCTCACAGCATATTATAATAATAAAGAGAAATGAATGAATTTAGAGAAAGACAATGAATGTAAGTTTGTACATGCTTTTTATGTTATGGTCTAGAATGCACCCCCCCATACACTACCATTCAAAAATTTGGACGCACCATCTCATTCAATATGTATACATACAGATGACATCAAATATATGAAGGAAGATATATGGAATTATTTATTTATTTATTAAGAAAAAAAAGTTAACGCCAGTATTTTCCTTTTTATAGTTTATATTCAAATCCTCTAAGTCAAAAAATAATAATAATAATAACTTTACTACATTAATTCCATATATTCTGCTCCATAGCCTATATTTGATTACTTGTGTGTGTATCTGAAATGTCGAAAGTAGTAAAAATAAGGAAAAAGCACATGGTATGTAATCGAACATGTCCTCTCTCTTCTGCCTGTCTCTCATGCTTCAGTGCAGATCCTCCCGACAGCCCCAGCCTCACGCCCTCTCAGCGGAAGTTCACAGCCCTTTGTCGGGGGCCCTGTCACTCTCTGGGAGACTCTGTGGATGCGGTGTCATAACAGGTCACAGTGTACGGGAGAAGCGCCTAGTTAAGTGTCAAATCGTCCCACCCAGTTAATGGTAGGTATTTCTGGATTTACAAGTACGCCAGTGTGCGTTACTTTACTTTGAATGTTTTAAAGTTGCACTGTGTAACTTTTTGGTTGGGGGTCATTCACGTGCTTGTTTCTAAGGAAATGTTCTTACATTTATTCAATTACATGTGGTTTTATAGTTCAAAGATAGATCATCATCATAGATCTGACCTGTGACCTGGTCTGGTTTGGGCTCCATGAAGATAGAAAGGTTTAATGCCATACTGTGAAACATTCCAGACAAAGCAATAACATCTCCCTGGAGAAAAGCATTTGACGGACCCTCGACCAGAAAAGTTACACAATGCACCTTTAAAATTTATAACATATAGTCTCTGTACATTTAACAAAAAGAAAGAAAATAGTTAAAAAGATCATTTGAATGTTTCCTAGTACATACTGCATTTGCTTTGGATCAACATAAAAGGGGACAGTATTTATTTAGGATTAAACATTTATTTTATGTGTAGTTTTTTAATGCCATAAAGGAGTAGCATTATTAAGTGCTTTATAAAACTGTAATACAAATTTAAGTTTATGGATCTAAATGAATTTAACTATACATTATCAGATGCATTTATTTATTTTCACTCCTACTTTCCGACTCAGTCTTTGACATTCAAATTCTAAAATATAAACACATTGGAGCATGTTTGTTTTTAAGTTACCGGGGAATACTTAAGACTAAACACATATCATTTGTTTAACCAGGGTCTCTGTAATATTTGAGAGTTCAGTTTGCACATTTCCACATATTTCGCAGATATAGGCTAAGTTAAGACAGATTTGCAATCATTTCATGTCTATTGCTCTGAGTTGTTCTAATTTATTCAAGTACATTTACTTCAGTAACTTTCTAATGAAATTCTACTTCTTAGTACCTAGTAGTACCTACTTCATTTTCGGACACCCTTCTTTAAATAGCCAAATATTTTTTACAGTGTAATAGTACTCTTTTTCATAATTAAATATTTTGTGCGTAGTCTACAAGTAACAAAATACCTATGTTAATGATATAATTTGAACATGTTAAATATTATTTTGTTTTTCTCATTTTGAGCCTGTTCTTTGAAAATACCAGATTTTGTGCATTATTTAACATTTTGTCTTTCAAATTCTGTTCGCTTCAAGGTATAAAGCATTACTTGAGTAATAGTTTCCCCAAATATGTTTGTACTCTGACTTGAGTCATTTCTTTGACCACTTCTTTGTACTTTTACTTTGAATAATATTATTTTGAACAGTCTTAACTGAGTACAGTTTTTTTTTTTACATTTTTTGCTTTGCTTTTGTTTGGCCAGGGTTGGCATATGTGGAATACTTTTATTTTTAATAAAAATAGCTTGTAGAGGGACATCATCACAAACTACAATGTCTAATAGATTTACAATTCAGCAATTTAGAGTATTAAACCAGGACAAACAAACAAATACTTAAAATGTAAAATACCTAATAAATATAAATTCTTCTTCTCATAAATTTCTCTTTCTCTGTTGCCAGGCGCTGGTTGCCAAGCACCAGTCCTCCCAGCCCTGCCATCCATCCAGTCGGCCCGCGGGGGGTCACCAGCGCAGGGGGGCGGAGTCTCGATTATGCCTATTATTTGGTAAATAAGATGTCAACAAGGTGTTTCCCTGACACTTTATTGAGCCAAAGGAGGAGAGTGCAGGAATGAACTACCCCGCAGTGAATGGGCCCACTAATCTCCTCTTGTATACCCCATCGTCTTAAGGGTTTGTGGGGTTGGGTAAGGGGAGGGTGAGGGGTACAGGGGGGGCATGCCAGGCGAATGCTACCCCTGCCTGGTACTACTTTTCTTGGGGCAGTGATGGTGTGTGCGTTCGCTGTGCTATCCTGGCAAAGTGTTTATAAAAGGCACTTGTTTGGGCACAATACTTGAACTAACTTTCTTTGAGCTGGCAGTGTGAATGCTCCCAAAGTCTTTTCCCAAAGCTCTTTAGAGGGAGGCCAGCTCATTGAGGAGCCAGAGGAGCCCAGGATTACCTAGCCTGACGGTGGTGCATTTCCGACAGAGCTGATTAGGCAGTGCTCATTGTTAAATCGACCAAAGGAGAGGCTCTAGACGAGAGAAAAGACCTCGAAATAGGTGGGCCTGGAGCAATAAGACAGCCACAGGAAGCCCAGTGCGGACCAGCCAAAGTTTTCCCAACAGTTCTTAAGCGGAGGTGCGCCGTGAAAAAGGAGATTAGCATACAAAATGAGAGAATGAGATGGCTGTGTATGTGTGTGTTTGTGTGTGTGTTTTGTCATGGGTAACGTGCAGCATGCCCTGTCCACCCCCAAGGTCTTGTCCGTCTGCACAAAGTTAATTAAACCAGTATTAAACAGTGGGGAAAGTTCCAGGGGCTCTTTGGAGGATTACACCCAGGATTTGTAGAGACGGAATTGAGAAAGCTGGTTCAATTGAGCACACTTTTGTTAGCTCCAATCAGCATGTATAACTGTCACTAGTAGAAGAAGTTGGGACAGGATGTTTGGGGCGATGTGTACAAACATGTATTATTCTTTTATTTCAGTAGAAAACACCAAAAAACACAGAGACAGCTATGCACAAAGTACAACTATAGGACATACTGTGCAATAAATTAACCATGTACAGTACAAAGTGCTTCATTTTATGTACATTTAAATACAAGGGCAGGGCGGGCGTGTGGAACCGTCAGGCTCCTGAGCATTATAAAAGTATAATAACTGAACTATATGTTTACAAAGGGATGAAGGACCTCCTGGTCATGTGATTGCCAAATTGTAAAACATTTTACAGTTCAATAACTTACAACAAAATGTTTTGAAATGAAACAGCAGCCATAAAATACCCAACAAATGTAAAAGGCTTTAAAAACAAAGTACAAAAATATACATATTTAAATACATTTAGTAAGGTCATAAAGCATCCTCTTCACTCTCATCATTGTGCTTTACAGTTTTGTACCAAACTCACAAACATGATTTTTATAGTGCAGTGGTACTTCAGAGGGCAGCTAATGGGAATAACAAGAGGACAGTCCTCATTATTATAGATCTAGGTTTGTGTATTAACCTGTTTTTGGCACTTAAAATTAATCACCAATAACATTTACTGAGCCCAGAGATTTTTATTTCAAAGGCGTTGTCAGAGCACCATGCCTAACTTTACCCCCATAATTCTTTTCTCATGTACATTGTTCGTAGTAAAGGCCTCTTCTGTTTTCACATTCTTGTCTGTGGTGTCCAGTATGTCACTTGTTTTGAAGATAAAAGGCCTTTTCATATTCAGGTGTCAGTGTGAACATAAGATTCTGGTATAGTGTCCTGTTGGCACAGATGTTGTGAATGCCTTGGTTAGCTCACCTCCTCATGTCCCACACATAGGAGGGGCCCTCAGTGCTTCTTCCTGAGTCGGAGGTTCTTCCTTCGGGCCCCGGCGCTCTCAGCTCTGCCTCTGCTCCTCTTCACACAGTAGTACTTGGTCACTGTTTTTCTGCACTGCTCACACTTGACCGCGCAGCACCAGTGGAACTTACAGTTACAGCTGGAGATGGTCTCAGCCCTCCTCTCCTCCACGGCCAGACCACACTCTCCACACAGCCTCTTACAGCTCCTCTTCTCCCACTTGGTCAGGTGTTTGCCCTTCTTGAGACACTCACGCCCCTCTGTGCCCGCCAGGCCCAAAGTGCGGTTCTCCAGGCAGTAGTCAGGAGAGTCTTCCAGGTGAACAAGCTCTTTGCGTGAGATGGAGCTGAAGGTCTCTGCAATGGCACCTCTGCTGGCGGCGCTGTTGCCCGCTCCTCTGAGCAGGTCCACTTTGAGTGCCCGGTGGTACTTCTCCTTTAGGTAGTTCCCCACCTCTCTGAACTCGGGCAACTGCATCCAGCAGGTCTGTGTGGTACAGCTGCCAGACACGCCATGGCATTTACAGGTGCGCTGCATGGTGCCCTTCACCGCCTGGGAACAAGAGACTCATCGGTATGACTGTTTTTCCCATTTATTTAGCAAAGCAGACAGTACACACAGATCAACATGACTTCACTGAGCACTACTTTTACTACTTTTAAAGCAATGGCAGCTCCAAATTCTTGGTGCTAAGGTCTTCCATAGGGATGCACACATAACATGATAACAGTGCACCCCCGTTTGTTTCCATGTTTGTATTGCTGTTAAAATCACATGTACATTAATCACATTTCATTAATTAAGTGACTCAAAAAACCTTAATTATAGGAAACATTTCACTTGTAACTGTACACTAATGTGTGAGGTTGTATATGTTTAACTAGGATGAGAATTAAACTGTCCAAATTAATTGAAACGTGACAAAACAAGGACAAAATGGTTTGCAATAAATGAGTATAGACTAAAAGTAACCTTTTAAATATGTTAAACCCTTAGAAAACCTTAGGCAAATACTATATATTGCGCAGCCCTAATCTTCTGCCCTCCCCTTTTTTGCAGTACTGACAATATTCTTGTGTTGCTGTATGCGAATTTCAGTTGCAATTTTACGGACTTTGTGTCTCCAGCACATGGAAACACTGGTTATAGAACATATTTTACTCAGCTAAGCATGCGCTTACAGATATGGTGTCACTGACTGTGGCACAATATTAATGTTAATACTTGTTGCTGAACTTTAGTCTTTGCGAGCATTTTTGAAGATGGACCAAGCAACACAAACAGAAACACTGTGAAATAATATAAACATCAATATTTGTCTCATGTTTCTCCTCATGTGTGAACACCGATAAAAGAGTGGAGAGGACCCACACTGTTTGACTGATGTGTTGTCAAATCCACTTATTGTACTCAAGTTAAGAGCTAAGCCTGAATGCGGACAATAGCTGAAATGGCCTCACGCTATTGTCTCCTTGTATCTCCTGACTCTGCCCAACACAAAACAGCTGTGGGATGAAAAGCAGCTCTCCCTGATTCAAAGTTTCACATCGCGCACCATTGTCCCATCCGAAAGTGCAGACGTATTTATTTAGCGTCTCTATTATCAACATGTTTTCACCCCATTGACTAGCGCAATCAAAAAGGAGTTATTCTCTCTTTCTCCTCCATTTTTTTCTGTTACATTGACGGTCCAGGTGCCGTGGGGTTCCGAAACTAGCATAAACAAAGCCCACTCTATCTGCGTTCCTGTGCTCTCCTCTGGCTCCCCGTGGCTGGACAAAAGCTAACATAAATGCAGGATCCTTATCACAAGAATAAAACTAAACACTTATTTTCAAAAGCAGCGGCGTACAGAGAGTTGTGAACTGTCTGGCTCCGCGGGGAGTCTAATTAAAGGGGTACAGATTTTGGATTGGGGATTGTTATAAGAGGTTTTCAGCTCTTGTTAATGGGCTCTTCTGGTACAGCGAGCACACTGTTATCTTTGGGGACGAGTGGCACCTTGCTTTTGGGGATCTGAATGGGGCGCTTGGGTGGCACAGCTCGGTTCAAGTTGGAGAAGAAGAGGAAATATTGAAAAGGTGCTTTACACTCATCCATGGTTCAGAGGGCTCGGAGAGATGATCAGCTTTAAGCAGGATGCCCAACTGTGCTCCTCATGGGTGCTACCACAAAAATCATATCGCTATCTGATTTTTGGAGCTGTCAGGCTACTGAAATGTGAAATGTGAAAATTTTAATAGGCTTAATCATAACAATAATGGGCAAATAGCCCCTATCTCCTTAATTAACTAGTTATTTAGCCTGAATCAGTCTTAGAGGGGCTGTACCTGATATTTACTGTCTTAAAAATGTAAGAAACAGAACTAGTTCATTTTAAATGTTTTGCAGTGGTTCCAAGTTATTATTGTGCTTTATGCATTGCGAGCATCCTAATTATTCACTGTGATGAGTTTATAAGCACTTATAGCAACTGCCATGATAATGTTAACAACAACTAGCATGCTAATACACATATTGGACAAGAAAATGATTTATAAATAAGTTCGGATAGTACACAGCAGACTTACTTTGACCTGAAGAGCTCTTTATACAATATATATATATGTACTGGAGCAGGACAAATTTTGCTCAGGTATATGGAAAAAAAAATCAGGTACATGCTCTTTGATAAATCATACTTAGTAAACTATTTTTTAAATTAAGAATTAAGTCTGGCTATTATTATTTTATTATAAGGTGGCACTGAAATCTTTCTGATGTGAGTAATCGGATTTCTTTCTGATTATTCACGCTTAGTTCAAGTTCACAGAAAATTACGTAATGTGGCGAAGACAAGAATTGAGTAAAAAATGATTTATTGAAAGTGTTAATTAACATTTTACATTGTACTTTGTCTTCGTTAAAACACTGTAAATACCTTGATTAACCTACATGTGCAACCAGATGTTGGTAATCAGATTTCTCAAGGGCATGTAAACACCGAAAGTCAGATCTAATAATTGGGTTATCTGATTACTCTAGTTATCTGTTTTTACTGACTGTTAAATCTACCCACTCTCATATTATAGATCTATAGTGTAGCCGGACTGTACCTTGCGTCCAGCCTCATTGTTGTGCAGATTCATGGCTGCGCGGGCGTCTTGACCCGTCTCCAGAGCATCCACAAACTGTTTGGAGATGGCCTCTCCAAAGCCCACATTATCACTGCAGCCTCCCCACAGCCACCCATGACCACCTGAAAGCACCAACACAAGTGTAAAGAACAGTGCTGTATCCCGCACGTGAGTTTGATCTGCACTATTTTGGGGAAAAGAATCCAATTGTAAGTTTTCTCAAAGTGCGTGAGAGTAAAAGAGTGCACATACAAAAGCATATGTAATTCAGAGTCTAGCATGTGATGATACTCCCATCCTCCCTGCTTGCTCATGTTAAAATCATGAATGTTGAACCAAATTCCAATAGTGACTAGACCATAGAAAAGCATTTTAACAATATGAATTTTAGCTGCCCCTTCCTCTGGTCTGTCAAATGTTGTGATGTCATCTGAAAACCAGCAATATATAAATGCCATTTCAGAGCATGTTTGTAAAAGTCTAATTTACAGACACAAGAATTTTCTATAAAAAGGATATTTTTTTGTAATTGGCATTCTATTACCTAAATTGCAGCTTTTATGATTTAGATTTGATTGTGATACATTGTACAGTCCTAATGTGAGTATGTGTAAATGCTGAGTGTAGAGTAGAGGATTACCGCGTTGTCCATTTCTACTATCGTCACAGCCACAGTTATCAAAGTCCCCCAGGCTACAGTTCCTGGTCAGAGTGTACATGACCCCTGCAGAGCTGATGGCATGGACAAAAGCTGCCTCACGGTTTGCTAAAGAGAAAACATACATTTGTTTGAGTTTCACTAATTTAAAAAGAGCTTTTTTAATACAAGTTTATTACAAAGGTGCATCATGTAATTTTTCAAGTGTTCCACAGTATGGCATTACACTTATACTAAGCACAAACAAGTGACCATTTATGGCCAAGTTACAGGGTCAGATCTGTGGAGAGACAAGCCCCCTCACAGTAAGAAAGTATGTTTTTAAGTCAATAAAACGCATGTAATTAAGTGAATTCAAGAGGGATAGTTTAACGCTGTACTGTGGAACATTCAAGACAAAGCAATAACAACTCCATGGAGACAAGCAGGTGAAGGACCCTCCACCAGAAAAGTTACACAATACACCTTTAAATAGGACTGGGCAGTATGGTCATAAAAACTGTACTGTGATTTTATTCCTGCAACAATCTGCTATTTTGGTCAAATCTTGTTTATTTGTTTATTTATATGGATTTTCACAGTCTCCATTTCATTAATACAAATACATATTCATTACATTTGATATTTCATTGCCATAAAATCACTGTTACATCTATCTTCTCAAACAGACACTTGGTCCCACCCACAAAAAGGTTGCGAGTGAGTGACAGCTGAGTTAACCAATTACAGTGACGTGTGAACTCTCAGAAGAAGAAACTTTATTTACCATATTACTCTATTCTAATGTTTTTCCTCATCACAAACATACCTGGAGTTGTGTTTTGTTTCATTCACACATTTAACACACAAATCCTGCATGTTAAAAAAAAAAAAATGCTATATTACCCACTTCAAACTAGTAATAAATTGTATGAAAAGCTTCTAAACAGTGGACTGCAGATGGGCCCTTTTGTTTGGTGAGACTCTCAGACACTTTCTTTGTGCATGTTGTGTTTTGGATTAGTGAGTTTGCTTTGGCTCTAGTGAACGTGGCCACTGTAACAATCTCAAATGGGACCAGTTCAAACCAAGCCAACAGTTCACACTTGCTCTGTTTTAGGTAGACTTTCTTAGACATGGATGTGCACACTGTAAACAACTCCAAAATGGATAATGAAATATGAACTGATGAACTAATACAAGAATTTGAGTTAAACTGTGGCTGAAAGAAAACCAAGTCTGTGAACACTTTTAATCTGGCCTTTTATTGTCTCTTTGTGTTTTGTAATTGTCACATGCCTAGGGACAACAAATCGACAAAACGAGCATATTTGCAATAATCTGTCATATTTACACGGTAACTACAGATGTTCATTAATATGCACTGTACCTATCAAATAAATAAATGTTTGTAGAGGTCTAAACTACAGGTAGAGCATGATTTTCTATAAAAACACAGGATATTTTGTTATACATTTATTATCTAATAACTGTAGCCTTTGCGATTTAAAAATTGCTTCAATGCAAATTGTGATTTTTATTTGTTTATGCAGCCCTAATGAGGTGTAGACTGACCACTGCGCAGGCTGCTGTGAGTGGACAGCTGCAGGGCTCTCTCGGGGCAGTTCCAGCGGTCCCATTCAAACTGGTATTTGCACTCCTCGATGCCACTCTGAGCCCCGGCCGCCACACTGCTGGAGTAGATCAGGTACGCCTGGAGGGAGACACAACTGTGAGTATGACCACACCAACCAGCTATTTATCACTTCAAAAATTTTAAAACTTAAGGATATCATAAGTTTCCAGACAGCAAAAAGGAAAGAACTACCAAAAAATATTCAGAAACATTTCATTGAAAGGGAAAGTACTTCTAGTACTTCTAATAACTTCTACTAATTTAAGAGGAGTACATCTCTTTAAAATGGCCAGAGTCTGTACAACAAGGAAAGGTTTTTGTATTTCAGTTTGTGGGGTCAAAATCTGGAACTCTGTGAGTGGTGATCCCCAAATATGAAAATGTTTGAATAAAGATATGAAGAAATGATTACGATTAAGTATATAGAAGAAGGAATTTAAGTTAATTTGTCATTTGAACGTACACTAAAACATCTTCAAATGCAGTTACTTATTTTATGTCTGGAGTAATGTGACTTACTATTTTAAGAGTCTGGCAGAAGCACATTATTGCATTAATGACATTGTAAAAGAGAGTGGGGGCAAATAAGCGTTTGCTTCTCTCTACTCCTTTTAAGAATGATTTGATTTTCTCTATATTTGTGATTAGTAACTTAAAATAATGACTTACTGTTGATTACTATTGAAATATAATGCAATTTATCATTTATGAAAATATTCAAATAAACGTATTATTATTGTATATGTTGTAAAGCAGAATTACATGGGGGTGTTAAGATTAAGGTAAAGTACACTTTATTGTAGGCCTGTCATGATAACAAATTTTGAAACCCAATATATCGCTACAATATAATATTGAAACTACTTTATGCCACAGACAAAAAAGCAGGACACTCCCATTAAGACAATGTTTAAATAGTATCATTAAAAGCCATGAACTGCAACAAATAAATAGCAGAATTAACAAAAAAATTTGCCATAGCAGTTATTTATTCTACCCTCTACAGCTCAAATCTTATCATGGTACAGAAAAATGTCTAAAATCTTCCCACTATTGCTCCAAAAATATTGTTCCAGCTTTGATGAATAAGTCAATATAGTAATTATTGTGACAAGCCTATACTTTATTGTCCCCGTAGGGAAATGTAACCTCTGCGTTTGACCCATTCTTAGGCGCTGGATCCAGGTTTTGGGCTACGTTTGGTCAGGACTACCATAGCTGGAGGATTTTTAGCTATACCTATAGGTCTCCAGGTATTAATAACTTCTAGACATGATCCTAACTGTCTAGAAGTAACTGATATAATTAACTGGCAGTAGAGGAGCATCTCACCTAATGCCAATGGACATGTTGTACGTCTATACCTACAGTATATCGAAGTATGGACTCAGCGCCATCTACTGATTTCATTCTTTTCACAGACACAATTACTTAAAGATATCAGAATAGAAAGCTATTTTATTTATGTGTATTTAGTGTAAAAAATGACTTTGTGATATATTTAACCCTAAATGTATGTGGGGTGGAAATAGGGGGTAGATGAAAACACTCAAGCCTCAAATACAAATCAACACAGGATTACACAAACATGCATGAACCAATTAACTTTGACTAAATTAATGATATGGTGTAAAATGTACTCTTTAGTAAAAGTACAGATACAAGAGCAGAGAAAAAGTATTACATAAAAAATTAAGTACTTAAGTAAAAGTATTGAAAGCTAAAATTTTACTTAAAGAGTAAAATATATTTCAGATAGATTTTGAGAACTATTTAAGTGTAAAATTAAGTGATTTTGATAAAGAATTGTGCTGGTTTTGGTTCCAACTGAATCAATATCTTAACTTTTCTAGCTGTTTTTATTCATATCATTTGCTTTTGTCTTAAATCACCCCCTCAAGATTACATGTTACCCCCAACTCTTGGCTTTTCTAGCTGTTTCTATTCATACATTTAAACATGCCGCCTCAAAAACATATAATTTGCCTTTGTTTAAACCCCAATAGATTTCATGTTACTTCATTAAGCCTTCCCTATTTGATACAACATAATTAAAACAAGTGCTAGACCTGTTTATTTAGACACTCTCTCTTGTTTAGCTGCACCTTTCTCATGTGTGGACCCCCAGCTCTTGCCTTTCGCCCGCTGTTGTTCAGACCGGGCCCACTATAATATAACTAATATGTCTCAAGTGGAGCTATGGAGTGGTTTCTCGTCTTTCTCCTGCTCAGGCTCGCTAATGATGACCACCCACTACACCACCGGGCTGCCCCTCTCCTCTCCTACCTCTTCACACATTCAACTCGAGGAAACACAGGGGCCCATGATAAGGTCAAGTGCAGCGAGTGAGAACCCAGTGCAACCGAGAATCTTATCTTAGTTGTCAAAATCAGATGCTAAAACTTGTCGAAACGAGTTACTTATTTGAGTAAGTATCGATATAAAAATTTTAAAAGTCACATTCACAGGACAGATATGAACGTTTCCTGAATAGCTTTAGAATGATCTTGGGCTGTATCAAGTATGAGCCAGAGACCAGTAGAGTCAGGAATTTTATAAATCTATCTATGTTGTCAAAATCAGATACTAAAAGTACTCTCAAAACCGGATACTTATTTGAGCAGGTATCGATACTAAAAAAGGCATATTCACAGGATAGAAATGAATCTTTACTGAATAGCTTTACACTGATCTTGGGCTGTATCAGAACAAGTCTACTGTCAAAAGTATTGAAAATTGGATACTAATTGGTACTAAAACTAGTATTGAAACTAGGTACTCATTTGAGGAGGTAGATACTAAAAAAATCACATTCACAGAACAGAAATTAACTTTTTCTAAGAAGCTTTAGACGAAACTGTATCTATACTGTATCAAAACAAGTCTAAGTTGTCAAAAGTATTGAAAATCACACACTAATCAATATTAAAACAAGTATCGAAATTGGATACTTATTTGAGCAGGTATCAATACTAAAAAGTCACATTCACAGGACAGAAATTAATCTTTACTGAATGGCTTCACAATGATCTTGGTCTGTATCAGAGCAAGTCTATCTAAGTTGTCAAATGTATCAAAAATCAGATACTATTCGATACTAAAACTAGTACTGATACTAGAAACTCATTTGAGCAAGTATCAATACTAAAAATGTCACATTTACAGGAAACGAACCTTTCATAGCTTTAGACGGATCTCAACCTGTATCAGAGCAAGTATAAGAGCACATAGATTATTTTGGACCGCTATGGAATTGACCTGACCACTGATGGATTACACAGATCTAAAACCACATGGTGATATAAAAGAAAGTACTATGATTTAATATTGAAAATCACATTCTATGGTCTAAAGAAAGAGTGTTTTTATTATCATCGTGGTATCAGAATCAGTATTGAGTAACAAGTCTATTCCTTAGTATCGAAACCGAATAATCAGGACAACAGCATGTCTATATGTGTCCATTTATTTAACAAACAATACAATCTGTGCATGTCATTTTTGAGGGGAGAAAAGGGGAAGGGAGGAGGATCAAAAGAGAGCTGGCTTACCTTAGGTCCAGTCATCAAGAAATTATTCACTGACCTGGAAAAGAAGACAAGCTTATTTAGTCAGGGAAGCTCAATGTCCTTCCGCAAATTCCACAGTTAACATCTCTCTCATTAGTGCGCCAGGAACACGTGAAAATGAGGTACAACTATTTGGAACTCTGTGAGAAAAGAAGATGAGTTTGGATTGTTTTCAGAATAAGAATAGGTCTGTCATGATAATTACTGTATCAACTTAACTTTTATATGAAAGATGGAACACTATATTTTGGGGTGAGCATTTAACATGGTACTTTGTCATTGTTATTTTTCTGGTCTACGATAAAATTTGAACCGTAAAAGTTTGAATAAATCACTTATATGACTCATTACATATGCAAATTAAGTACTCAAGTGTTTCGTTCTGCTGTTTATTTATTGCAGCTCATAATTTCTTAATCTTGTACATTTCGAATAGTTGTGGTTTAAATCTGCTTTTCAGTGTTTCAATATTATCATCAATTTTTTACTTAGCAGTATATCTCACTTCAAAATTTGTTATCATGACAGGCCTAATTAAATATTTTAGATTCACTGGGTTTGATGAATTTGTTAAGAACTGTAACTCTTTATGATAACTACACTTTTAATAGCCTTAATTAATGTAGCATGGCTTAATTCATAATGAGAAAATTGTTTAGTAAAAACAATTCAGGTTTAGTAACTACATAATTAATATCTTAATCATAACGTTTGTCAAAAGTATTGAAAATCTGATACTGATCAATACTAAAACTAGTATCAAAACTAGATACCCATTTGAGCAGGTGTGGATACTAAAAAAGTCAAAGTTCCTGAATAGTTTTAGAATGCTCTGAAGCTCTATCAGAACAAGTATATTGCTTAATATCGAAATTGAGAATTGTATCATGACACTATAGCAACACTACACTACAAACCATACTCCCAACTCTAACCTCTTAATTAAGTAGTTACTAAGCCTGAATCAATCACAGTAAACTAACTTTGTTCATGCTTTATTAAGGCTAACGAAGGTGTAGTTATTATAAAGTGGAACCCAAACAATTATCTATACATGCCAAACTATGAGCTTCCTTTTTATATTTCTTTGTTTGACATTTTAGGTGAGACTGTATTGTGGTGCTTTGAATGGCAGGATGCATCACCACATGCTTATAGTGTTGTATGTACGTGTGGTATCTTGATATATGGTACTTTCTGACAGTATTTTAGTAAGTTTTATGTGGAAAATGTGGAGTGTGATGGTTTTTGGTTTGATTGTAAATGGATGAATACTTGGATATATTTTAATTGTTTGTTAAGCTGCTAAATCTGGTGTAAAGCATCTTCTTTTATGAGATGAATGTGACAAAACTAAACCAACAGTTAAAATGTAAGGAATTATGTAATTGCAGCATTTGCAGAAAAGGAGCATTGCAGATCTCTTACAAAAATACAAAATATAACATATAACATCTACAATGGCTGGACGATCCTCTTAATCTTCAACATAAACTGGTAAAATAAAACTAAAATAGGCCTACTTCAGCTTCCTGTTATGGGTCACATTTTGAGAACATTTCACGATTCAAAAGATATACTGATATACTAATGTTTAGATTGTTAATTCCTATGGCAACGGTTCTACTTTTTCATCATAGATAAATCCATATTAGAATATAAAGGGATTTAAATGCAGGGCAAAGGAGCTTAAAGTTAAAGTAAAATTTAGGCCTAGCTGCAAAAAAAAAAAACAACAACAAAAAAAACAACAACAAAACACTCTGAATTGAGAATATATTTCACAATTAGATCATATTTTTCATACCTTTCTGTCTGTTCCTGTTGTAATGGTTGAGCAGAAACATGCAAACCCATATCCTCTGCCTGATTGCTTTTATACCTTATATGCAAATGTTAAAAAGCAATTACTCCCAGCCCCAGCAAAAGTCTAGGCATGTTCTTCCATATTGTACAGCCTGCAGGTCTATCCGTAGGTTTAAGAATGATTACAGTTATCAAAACAAAAAATATCCCATCTTGTAGAATGAACATTGCATACCATGACAATCCCATAACTTGATCATTATATACTTCCAAATAGAGGGCAAGATATATATTCTCATAAAACATATATAAAAGGTAAATTCACAATTGTTAAGGAAATAAGCCTACATGACTCAATCTTACCCAAAAAAGAAGTAATAAAAATTACATTCTTTTGTTTCATACGTTACTCGTGCGTAAACATCAAAACACATCAAACTACATCCACGAATTGGCCTTACCAGCATCCGTACGCGTTCATATTGGCCAGCAGCAGCACCACGTAGCAGAAGACCTCCAAATGCATGAACATCCTGACAGGTGAGGCCGCGGCGTGCACTGTCCTACCCTCGCGCTGTGGATGTGAAGTGACTGTGCGTCCTTTAGCGAACCACCAGCGAATCTCCAGTTCTTTCGCGGAGGGGGCTTCTGAAATGGAGCTGCTCTAGTCCCCAACAAGAGATTATCTGCTTAATTAAAGATTTTCCCCCCTTCTTACCCTCTCGTCCAATCAGCGGAGCAGTGCGGAGGAGGACATGATCAAAAGAGCACCCCGGGCCTTCTTATGCCCTCTGGCTCCCATTCACGGGCGCAGGGAGATCCTCTCTTCTCCGTAATCCCGTTGGAAAAAGTGTAACATTGATCCCTGAACGTTGAAAAGTTTATTTAGGCTATCAAACGTAACGCACAGATGATTTTTGAGGATTAGCAAGTGGATATGGAGTCGTTTTAGCTTGATAAAAGTGCAAAAATATAAAGGGCCTGCCAGTGATTGCTTTCATGTCAAACTGTTAGAAGCGTGATTGAATCATCGTTTATCAATTGGCAAGAAGCGACAATGACGCATGATCTTAAAGGTGAACTGTGTTATTGCTCTGTCTAGAATGTTCCACGTATGACATTAAACAGTTCTACCTTACATTTATTAAATTACAGGTGGTTTTATAGCTCAAAAATAAAAACAGGCATTCTAGCTGTGAGCAGAGCTGCCTCTCCACATATCTGATCTGTAACTTGGCCTGGTTTGGTCTGCATGATGATAGATGATAGAGTATTTAATATCTTACCATGAAACATTCCAGACAAAGCAATAACGTCTCCATGAAAAAAAAAAAAGACTTTGACGAACTATCCACCAACAAATTGCGCAATGCACCTTCAAGTTTTACGCGGGCTTGTTTTGTGCGCCAATTTGACCCTGTATCAAAGACCATTTACAGTAGCGTCAACTGTAACGGTATACTAACAAAATTTCACTTAGCTGGGTATTTGAACGTGTTATATAATTTTGCAATGCCTACAATTAACTCAAACGCATTTTTTTCTTGCATGATACGATCCAAGACGGTAGCCTGGTGGTACCTTGCTGACTACGGATCCCAAAAAGGACATTTTCCCAGAATGGTGATCCCCCTCTACAGAAAATAAAAGGTAAGGATTGTGCCGGGCTGAAGAAGGCCAAGCTATTGATCAGATAGAGTGCATTTGCATGACTAATCCAGACGTTCCTAGCTCACACACTAGATAAAGGCAATTCCCCCATAACCCCGTCTGACCCGTAGGTCCCTTTCCTTTGGCGGAGGCAGCCCTTTAGCCAGCTTCTTGTGTGCAAATTAGGATTAGGGAGAAAAGTGATTTGGGGAGGACATCTGAGGGATGTTTTTGGATTGAGATTTAAAGAGGAATGACACGCGAAACAAAAGAAGGATCAATGTGTTGTTTTAGGTATTTTTTTTTTAATCCTAGGAAATGCGAACGATTCCGTTGGCCTACTGCTTCCATATGTCATTATCTGTGTGGGAAAGGCATACAGCATCATGTAACGTGACTCTCCAACCTTCAGACAGGCTTTAAACTATCGTGACCAAAAGGTAAAGGCGGACGGCGCATGGTTTGGCTGTGCGTAATAGTTATGCGTAATGGATGTGTGTAATTAGGATAGATGCGCCACTGTAAAAGGCGCATACCACTTGTCGGGTAGATTGACAGGAGCAGCTATTAGATTCTGTACACCACATATCTTCATTACGCACGGTTTAAAAGGTCTTTGATGTTGAGAACTTTGCGTAGTATTATTACCTGAGCCGATAGGTGGCGCTTTTCTACAATTTCAGCACAAAATATCCTGCCCATTAGAATACTGTACTTCTTATGCAAGCTCGTTGTGTCGATGTATCTAGTCAAAAGACTTTCAGGTGAGATGAGAATACTGATTATTGTATTATTATTATCATTATAGAACCTGTAAATTCCAGAAAGGCCTCAAAAAGTACCTCTTGTATCTTTTTGCGGTGAGGCAGTTATGCTCTGACATGTTTTCCTAGCAGGTAAAAAGTCCGTAAATAGAGTAAGAATACACAATGCAGGATCTAGACTAGGAAGTGTTATACTGAAACTTGAGAATTAGGTTTTGCAACAGTAATTCACCACATAGATATTTCTCTGGAATTTTAAACTACAAAAAGATTTGGGCCTATATTTCAAAAGTATATGGTACAAGAAATAGACGTACAAATGTTTAGATTTTGAGCAGTCCCATCGCTGGAAGATATAAAAGCTGCTGGGCCGGTGCCATCTTCTGGACATATGAAGAACTGCGTAGCCTACTAATTTGTGTTGCATTGTACTTAAACGATTATGGAAAAGACATTATTATATGTAAAGGGATATCTTGCAGGCCAGGTTGTATACACTTTGAAAACAGTGGCATGGTTAGATGAGAACTGAGTGTACCTTCTATCTCATTATAATGAAAAACAATAAAAACAGAATGTTGGATTACATATCAGAACGTTTCTTTTATTATTTTACAAAAACTGTAAAATATGTTAACACAATGTGTACAGTATTTTCTTATAATTCATCAGTGCTGTACTCCTGACACAAACCCTCATGGATCATATCAAAACAATGTAAGACAAGACAATTTTGGACAAATAATCCAAAATTATGTTTCCATTCGTCATTCACTGAGTCGATATAGTAATTATCATGACAAGCCTACATGGATCTGTTCAGAAGGACACCTGATATGGATGTGGCTTTCGAGACCATAGTAGTTTAGCTAAGATGTGTTATTATTTAAATTTTTGTGTTGGTTGATGTGTTGGTTTGGTGTTTGTTCAGACACCACATAAATTGTCATATCCGATTTATGACTTCAGATAGTTACTGTGCAAGCTGAACAATGCAATTCAAACTTTCTTTTGTAGTAATAAATATAGACTGATAACGCTGTTCTCACAAATCTTTATAAAGAATGTAACAAAGTGCCAGGAGTATAGACTGCAAATGAAAAACATGAATAAATAAAATATTAACAGATTTGACCTATAATAATAGTTGTCTCATCTGTGCATTTTCAGTTCAAGGTAGGGTATGTAGCCTGCATTAAAAGGGGAACTACAATCACAACTGATCGTGGGCTGTCAGTGCCTTAACCTGTATGTAGAGGACAAATACAAGTTTTAGGTCAACTAGTTTTAGTCGTAGGATCTGGCAGCCGCAATGTGTGGCTCATACTGCTTTCTTATTGGATAATCAGCTTTTAAAGGGCCCACATTACGCTGTTTTTGATCTATGTTATAATGTTGCTTCCTCATCAAAACCATGAATTTCATTCACATTCACACGAGTTCTTCTCGTACATAGAAAACACCCCACCTTCCACCTAGTGATGTCATATGCTAACACAGGAAGTGCTCCTCTGTCTTTTTAAATATCTTCATTAGAATCATTTGGATAATTTGAGCACTGGAATTATAAATCTCTACTGAACTGAAGGGAAAAGGTAGCTGTTCACTTGAAAACTATCACTTCATGACATCACAAGGTGGAACAGAGCATTTTGAGCTTTGGAAATGTAAAGAAACTAACAATACAGGATTACTCAAATATGTGTGAATGAAACAAAACACAACTCTGGGTATATTTTTGATGAGGTAACAACATTATAACATGGCTTAAATCTCACAGGGGATCTATTTTCTGCAATATGGGACCTTTAAGATCCAAAACAACACAACCTCCATGTCCAAAGATTTTGAATCAAGAACAAATCAACATGTCAAGTATTATCAGTAAAAGTAATATATTTGATTTTAACTCATTTACCAGTTTACATGTTTATGAAATTTGAAATCAAAGTTCTACATTGCCTCCCTTTAAACAAGTCATTAAAGGCCCTGTGCCTGATTTTTCCCATGTATTCAAGCACGATCTGTCTCGCCCCAGTACTGACATATTATATACAGCTGTTGAGGTCTCTTTAGAAATCTCTTTACTGTCAGATAATTAGGAAGTGTGCATTAGAATGCTAGTAGTTGTTACGGTCATGGCAAAACTCCGCTCTGGTCTCTAAAAGTTGTTAAAAGTGCCTCATAGTAAACTCATCATAGTGAATAATTAGGATGCTCAGAATGCAAAAGGTAAGTGAGGAATAACTTTGGAGCACTGCAAACCGTTTAAACAGAACTAGTTCTGTTTTACATGTTATGACAGTAAAAATCAGGTACAGTGCCTTAAAGGTGCACTATGTAACTTTTCTGGTGGAGGGTCTCTACGGTGATGTAATTGCTTTGCTTGGAATGTTTCACCATATCATATTAAACTTAACTATCTCCATAGAAACAAGCAGGAGATTCCACCTGACCAAGATACCGGTCAGATCTGTGTAGAAGATGGCCTGCTGACTGTAGGTGTGCAAGTTCTTAGAGCTATTTTTTTTAAAACATAAATGAATGACTGAAGGAAGATGGATAAGTGTAATGCCACATAGTGAAACATTTCAGACAAAGTAATATCTCCATCGAGACAAGCAGGTGTTGGACCCTTTACCCGAAAGTTACACAATGCAGCTTTAAATAAAGCATTCAAAACGCACACCAAAAACATTAATTTGTCACAAAATATTATAATAGTCACTCCAATCCTGGCAGTAGCACTGACTTTGTCAGTTTAAAGGGCCCATATTACGTTATTTTCTGATCTATGTTATAATGTTGTCGCATCATCAAAAACATACCTGAAGTTGTGTTTTGTTTCATTCACACATGTTTAACACATTAACTCAGCCTATTTATGCTGAGTTCTTCTCTTGAGCAGAAAACACTGTACCACCTTGTGATGTCATATGGTAGGAAGTGCCCCACTGTATTTTTTTTCACTAGAAGCACTTGAATGATTCTGAACCGGAATTGCCTCTCTGTATTGAACTAAAGGTAAAAGGAGCTGTTAACTTGAAAACTACCACTTCATGACATCACAAGATGGAACAGAGCATTTTGAGCTTTGGAGATGTAAACAGCCTAACAATAAGGAATTACTCAAACATGTGTGAATGAAACAAAACACAACTCCAGGTATGTTTTTGTTGACAACATTATAACATGGCTTAAATCTCACAAGAGTCCATGTTGTGTAATATAGGACCTTTAAATAGAAAGAACTTAGTCACTGTTGTTGCTTCCGCTGCCTGTCCGTTGTTTACGGGCTAGGATCATCTCTTTGGAGACTTTTTTGCGATCCGAAGCGAAACCCAGGAAGCACATGAGGTCTATGAACGCTGTGGTGGGGTTGAGCCTCCAGCCAAACTCACTGGTGCCATAGTCGAAAGGAAAAGTGTGGTGGTAGTTGTGGAAGCCTTCACCTGAAGAAGAAGGAAAATTAAAGCCACAAGCGTCACTGAACAGAACACTGAACATGGTTAAAAATACCATATGGTTACCAAACAAATCTTTCTACCAAACAAACTGTGTACATTTGGAAGAGCTAAAACTTTGACCCTTCATGCAAAATGTTGTGTTTTGTAGGGGGCGAATCGCGCATATTGGGCTTTGTATGTGCAAACAGGAGCAAATTTGGACATTAAACAATTGGTTTACCAAAGATTGGCAATTCCAAGTCTGGAATCATTCAAATGATTTTAGTAAAGGTGTATGGAGTTAAAACACAACGCGTCCTGTACCACATGGCATCAGAAGGTGGAACACAAGGTTCCACAAGGTGGAAAAAAATATGTTTGTGTCATTAACATGTGTGAATGATACAAAACACAACTCCAGGTATGTTAGGCAGATTTCTCCATTGTCACTTTAATAAGAGCTTGGTTCTTACCCATAGCGCTAAATGCCACCATATGGTTCTCTCGAGGGTTGATGGTGACATCATAAGGCCGGTTGCCCCACATGTGAGCGGCACTGTTCACCAGCCAGGTGGCATTCAGCTGCAGTGCGTATCGGAAGAGTCCAGGAAGGAAATACGCCACCTCCAGAGACTCGCCCCAGCCCCACCATGGCACCAGAGTGGGCAGAACAAAGCACATGACCACCAAAGACAGGAGGCTGTGTCTGCAGACAGAGGGGGCAGAGATCAAGAAATGTTCAGGAAAGGTCACATTTTGTCCTGTTAATGGGTTTCCTTTTTTATTATTGATACTTTTCTCAAATGAGTGTGTAGTTTGGATACTAGTTTAAGTATCAGATTTGTATCAGATTTGTAATACCTTTGACAAACTCAGTTACAATTTTGTGTTCATTATCTTTTTAAATAGATCAGAGTTGCCACATGTGCTTCTTTATAGCAACTTCAGGCTTTTTTGGGCTTCTTTTTTACTATTCTGTTTCATGATATAGATAATGACTGAAATGTGAGCTACTGATGTTGTTATTGTTGATATACAAATTTTGTTACACATCTTGTTAGCGCTTGTTCAAGTGGTGATACAAAATACTAAACTGATTGCTTCTTTTTTGTGGCTTCGTTTTGTGTGGTTTGGAACAGTTTTGGACTTTTTTCAAAGGCTTGGTCACCTGCTGCTTTCTGAAAAGCTGGCGACCCTAACACAGACTTGTAAAGTATATGTGACAGAGAATTTTTGATAACAGAATTTACCTTCTCTGAAACATCACCACTTGGTCCTCCTCCAGGTCAGACATGTCCAGCTTCTGCCCCTTCTCTTTGACATCTGGATGTTTGCGCACCAGCAGCCAGCCCACATGGGAGAAGAAGAAGCCCCGTGTTGCATTATGGGGGTCCGCATCAGTCTCCGAGTACTTATGGTGCACGCGGTGGTCTCTGGCCCACTCGTAGATGTCATTCTGCACATGAGCAAGAGCAGGGAGGATTAGGTGAGATAGACTTAAATATGAATGCGTCCGATCACCAGATTAAGGTCACTAAACATGTAAAAGCACTCAGATCATATGATTATTTTACATATATATGCAGTAGGTATCAGATATCAGCTTCCAAATACCAGTTCATAACCTGTTTTTACTGGTTAATAAGACTATTCACTGGTTGTAGCTGGCTCAAAAAGTCTCATAGTATTTGAACTTTTTATACTAAAGTTTTTCTATTGTACTTGAAAGATAAATAACAGCTACGTAACACATGTGGATCAGTTTTGTCTTATTTTATTTTGTTTAAAGGAAATGCTGTTTTCAGTCTGTGTGCTGGTATAGTATAAAAATCGGTATCAGAACTAAAAAAAGCTGGATCAGTGCATCCCTAATGCATTTGAGTTATGTGAATAGAGCATTTTTGACTTGTAGACCAACTAATAATAAAGGATTATTTAAATGTGTGAATGAAACAAAAGACAAGTCCAGGTCTGTTTTTCTATTCTAAAAATGTTGCGTAATATAATAGTTGTAGCAGTAGTGCCAGTTTAGGCCACAGTGGATTACCTGGAAAGCCATGGAGTTGCCGAGAGCGAGGAAGACTCTGAGTGGAAAGGAGGCCTTGTAGGATCTGTGACTCCACAGTCTGTGGGCGCCAGCAGTCACCCCGAGACCACTGAAGACGTAGCACAGAGCAGCTGCAATAGAAACAGGGAGGGTACAAAAGTGTTACTCTCAAAAGTGTTACACTTAAACCAAATACCTAAACAAATACATGTACTTTATATACTTTTATTCCATAACACTTACAGAGCTAGGTTTGAGCCATTTCGGAAAAATATTACGCAAAACTGACTCTTTAAACCATGTTATAATGCTATCTTGTTTCATTCACACACATTATTAGTCTGTCCACATCCCCAGGGCTCAGAATGTTCTGTTCCACCTTGTGAACTTAAGAAGCGGTAGCTTTCAAGTTAACAGCTACAATTCACCCTTTTATTCGATACAGATTTGCAATTCCAGGGCCGAATTTATCCAGATAATTATAGTAAAAGCGAATATGGAGTTTAAAAACACAGTAGAGCAAATCCTGTATTACCACATGACATCACAAGGTGGAACAAGGTGTTTTCTATTTTTGTGTTAAACTTGTGGATGAAACAAAACGCAACTCAAACAGTTATGTTTGTGATGATGAAATAACATTATAACATAGACTAAATATAGTGTAATATGGGCCCTTTAATAATAAAATTCTGTCCAAAGTTCACATTTTAAGCATGTCCAGGCGTATTGACAAAAAGACTGAAATATGACGTGACAAACATACACAAAAACTACATTTAAGAACATGTACAGATCTGAACTACAGGGTTAGCAGTTTGTATGTAAAAATCATTTATTTCCTTTGTGTGGGAAATGGGAGTCTGCCAGCGTCACTTACAATGGGATGTCTATAATGGAACTGAGTGATTGTGCTTTGTCCTGTGGAGCAGCTTCGTAATGGAATAAGAGGCTAAGACGAGGCACGCAGAGTGGAAACAGAGTCAGGGCTGTGGAGAAATTCTTGTCATGCTTCACTTGTATCTTCTATATGGGCCACATGCTATATATGATCACCATATACACACAGGCCTATCTGCTCAGTGGTACGTTTCAGAGAGTTTTGAATCATGGCAACTGCAGTTACAATATATTTTGATTTGTTAAAGGTGCATTGTGTTACTTTTCTGCTTGTCTCCATGGTGAAGTTATTGCTTTGCCGAGGATGTCCCACAGTATGGCATTAAATAAATATATCTTGTATTAAACAGTTACTGTCCCATTTCTCCTCAAATCTGACCTGTAACTTGGCCTGGTGAGGTGGCCTGCTTGTCTCCATGGTAATAGTTCAATTAAATGCCATACTGTAGGAAAAAAACAATAACACGTACATGGAATCAAACAGGTGGTGGACCCTCTAATAGAAAAGTTATACAGTGCACCTTTAAAGAATACACATTGTGTTTCAGTCTACTGCATGTAGTTAACTGTTAATTGACAGCTGTAAACATCAACTCCGATGGATAGCTGCACATCACACAAGTGACTCGCAGATTTTTTTTCTACATGTATCACTGATTTGAAAAATTTTTATGGAGAACAAAGTCAGTACCAGACAGTGAGCATTTGCTAGTGGGATTGAATGGTCAATATATCGTTTGGAAAATAAATTCAAACTAGCTCAAACGTGCTTATAACTCCAAATACCAATCTTGTTCCATTACTGACCTCTTGTGGTGAATGACCCTATCTTGCAATTGTACAGAATGTGGAAGCTGTTGTATTTTCCTAGTGGAAGAAATTTGAATTAAATGAATCCCTCAGTCGACTAGGTAGGTTCCATAATGGTCTATGGACGTGTCTATGTGGAACTTTAGGAGGCAGGAGTGCTGCTTGGATGTATAAAGATTGTGCAAATTGTCCTTTTGGTGCTCTTCAGTATAGGGACCAGTCTCAAATACAGTTGAAAAAGCAGAGGGACTCAGAAATTACAAAAAAATTAAAAGCCTTTAATACCACATGGCAGATAAAGTTGAAATTCACACCAACTCGAGATGGCCATCACAGTGCAAATTAAAAATGTGCACTGTGATAGCTATTTCAAATTTGCCATGATGAAGGCTGAAGGGCCAAAACATGTTGCCATGATTTGAACTTTATCTGCCATGTTTTAAAGGCTTTTCATTCTTTTGTTCTTTCTGAGTGCCTCAACTTTTTCAGCTGTACTAGTTGTGGTTTTATACTTGTTCTGCTACATCTTAAAATCATTCTAAAGATATTCAGGAAAGGTTCATTTTTGGTCTGTGAATGTGATTTTTTTTTTTTTTTTTCAAGTATCAATACTTGCTCAAATCTTGTCTCTTCTCCTTTCTTCTAGTTCGACCATTTGAGCAAGATGTATTCTTTTGAGTAAAGGGTAGGCTACCATTTATGGCTCCTCTATCTCTCCTCTGGTTGTCAGTTCTTTAAATGGAGCTCAGCAGTGACCACCTGCTCCGGTTCTGGAAGTAAAATTTTCATTCATTTTTCCCATAGACTTTTTTGAAAATTTCAAAAACATCACTAAGGCTAACCAGCCACATGGCAATCAATATCCATATCACAGTTGTTTTATGTCCAAAACGTCCATTTAAAACGTAAGATTCTGTGAAATGTTTTAATAACTTGCTGGTTAGTAAAATTTCAGAAACAGATTTTATCATGGTAATTATTAGTTACCATGTAACCGATTAGCCCTGAGCAAGCTTTCAAACTTTAAATATTAATTTATTTTGGAATGTCTATGGGAAAAGGTACACTGCGCAACTTTTCTGGTGAAGGGTCCACTATCTGCTTATCTCCATGGAGATGTTATTACTTTGTCTGGAATATTTCATGGTATGACTTTAAAGATTTTAAAACTAAAAAAATGCCTCACACACTCAGATAGCCAATGTCCAAATGCTTTTTATTTTTATTTTTAAATAACGTTTCAGCTTGTGTCCCTCATGATAGATAGGTTTAATCTATACTGTGGGACATTCTGGACAAAGCAAATACATTTGGACCCTCTACTAGAAATGTTACGCAATGCACCTTTAAATCTCCATCAGAGACCAATATTTTGTTTGACCGACCAGCAGCCTAAATATGCATTAAGAACATATGCATAAAGCAGACCTGAACACTTAAGTCCAAAGGTAGTGCAAAAATGTGACCACACTGCACTCTCATCCAGTGTGGAGTAAAACAAGGTTGTGGGTGAGTTTGCATTAAATTCAAATTAGATTATTTGGGGAAAATTACATAAATTGGCCCAAACATGTGAGCAGAAATGACTGGCTATCAGGTGCTCTGGATTCTCGGTATATCGAATATCGGCATCAGCTTCGGCCATTGAAAAATATTGGTTGAGCTCTAAAATTTACTTGTGGAACCAGGAGGTGGGCGGTCACTGCTGATCTCCATATAAATAGGCTGTACAAAAGCTTATGTGTAGTCATATTAGTGCTTCTTGCTGACATATGCAAGAAGATTCATGAATACATGTCAACCCACTGTACACAGGGACATACTTGGATGTATCTTGGCCTATAGACCCTTTAAAATGCCATGTCATCAGAATGTTCAAAAAAGCCACAATGGAGGCAAAAGGAAGCAAACAAAATATGCTTTCAATGATTAACTGAAAAGAGATCTAATGGTTTTAAGTCTTTAGAATAAAAAACAACCAACCATTTTGAATTCCCTATTTAATATTTTGTGATATTCTGTGGGTATTCCTGCTTTTCGCAATGAAATTACATTAAGTTCCATTACACCTTTGCCTCCAGCTTTGTTTACATTTTTTCCCCCCAAAGGGTCTATACCTGTAGATCGTTAGTTTCTTAGAATTGGATGGGCCATTACTGCGCCTGTATTGTTCTCACTGGTTGATGGACCCACTGACCCCAGCACATCAGCACATAAAGGGGGGTGTGACAGGCAACAACCGTGGCGTCTGTTGCTTATGATGCTACTTACTCCAAACAAGCGTCCACGTCTTGGCGTAAGGAATGAGCGTGAAACCGTAGAGCGCACCGATATGCAATAACGCCATTAGAACGATATTTCTCCACACCAGCTGCATTCGCGGTCTACGTCCCTCTTTTTCTTTGTACGTTGCGTCAAAAACATCATCCACCGGTGCCGTGGGGTGGCCGTTTTGGTGCTGCTTCGGTGGCGGCGCGTGGTGGTTGATTGTTTGTGTCTCAGTCATTCTCGCTACGGTGGATTGGCACAAACAGCGGTGCGTAACGGTGAAATGCGCAATTACTCGTGCGCTCCTCCAGTGTCACGCGCTCTAGTCAAAAAGGTAAACGAGGAGATTATATTAGACGCGTCGCTCTCATATCCGTTGTTGTCCAGCCCAGTGTTATTTAAAAGCGGATGGGGAAATTGATGCTCCTGGCTGCGCACATCCCATTGGCCGTTGGCTCGTCTGGTGTTACGCGCGCCCATCCTCCCTGTTTGATCGGTAACAGTGAGGGCTTGTTCGTGTTTTCATCACGGAACACAATTCTAAATGTCAGGAAATATTAAGACAAAGTATTCAAATCACTGAATAAACATAGCTATCCATAACCTGTTCTAACCTGGAGTCTCCTTTTTTTGTGGAAAAGAATACATTATATAGCCTATGTGTACTGGAGGAATGCTTTTACAAGACAGAGCTCAATTAACTTGTTTCTGTGATTCTCCATTAACGAGCAACACTGCAATTTTTAATAACTGGGATGTCTTGAAGAATGTCTAACCCAAAAACTGTTGCGCTAGTGCCATCTTGTGGACATTATAAATAACTACATAGTCAATTGTGATTGTAATTAATCAAGTCTATTACTATAAATATATACATATCAGTATACATTCAACTTTGACTGCTTCCCAGACCAGTTTTACAAGTATACATTTTGGGTGACTAAATTAATCAAATTTTTCTATCACAGTTTTCAATTTGAAGTTATTTTGTCTCATTAAAAACGAATAAAATTGTCTTTAAATATTAATTTCCTGAGCATAAACAATACAGACTCAAGTTTCTTCCTCCAATGTCTAAACTCTGCCCCAAACAACAAAATGCATTTACTGACAAAAAACTGTGATGGCTGTGGAGGTCTCGATTAAAAAGATTGATTATTGACAATTAGAAATGACATAATCTCAATTCATTCTTGATTGTTTGCACATCCCTAACTCAAAAACTGACCTAATTGTTGTATTGTGATACAATCATAAAACAGAAGACTGCATTTTAATTTTTTAATCCATGGCCAAATAATTGTAAACATGTACATCAGAAGCCTTATGGGGCATTTACATTTTTAGCATAAAATCTTAATCTTACTGTCTTAATGTACCTTTTTAATTTATCTTTGGTAACATTTTCTAATAAATACACTTATTCATGCTTTATTAAAGCACGAACTGCCTATACATAATGAACAAATAGTTTATTAAGAATGACTGAGGCTTGGTAACTACATAATTTAAACCCTAACCTCATAACTCTTAACCCTATCTCTTTAATAAAGTTAGGCTTGAATCATTCTTAAATCGTTTGTTCATAATTTACAGTCTTTCTTCAGGCTTTATTAAGACTAATCAAGGTGTACTTATTATGAAGTTATTATAAACTATCTTTCAAAGAGCAGTACAAGTTCACAGTGTGGGGTGTGGGGGAACATATCCACAGGCACTGCTAGTGTCAGAGTGAACGCCTCTCCGGTGAGCTTCTTCTGGGGGTCTGGAGCACAACACAGTTCTCTGAAGTTCCTCATAGCCTCCCCCTCTGGCTTACAGGACACATAGACCAGTCTGCGGATGGAAGAGTGGTTCCTTAGTGCTCTTACTACACGATAATGCAGGCCTGCTCGAGCTGGATTCACCACTGCTGTAAGGCCAGACTGTATTGAACTTAACTCCTTCATTAGACCAGGAAGGACCACCTCTGCTTTTCCAGACTTAAACTCGCAATTATGCACATTGTTGAGGATTGCATTGTGTCTGGCATCCTCTACAGCTTGCTCCACTAGTTCGATACCCAGGATTTGGTTCACTCTGGGGGATGTGATGATGCCAATCGCGCCCGTACCACAACACACGTCTAAAAGAGTGCCACCTCCTTGAGCTGGGTCAATTCCATTGTGATGATTTGGTGTGCATAAGTCTCTGACTGTTCTGTAGAGCACGTCCGCAGCAGCTTGGTTCACCTGGAAGAAGGCATCTGGAGATATGCGGAATTTGAAGCCTAGAATCTGTAAAAACAGTGAAATAATATTATATACAGCTTGACATCCTTTAAGAAATGCTGCAATAAGATTAGTTTATATACAGTTAAAACAGTGATAAATAATCAATTTAAAATAATATTAATGTTGTGTTCATGTAAATATAGATTTACTTAAAATCAATCAATCAAAACGTGCAGCCATAGTAAGCATTACAAAGGTGTGGTAATCTAAGCAGTTTTCCAGGTAAATAAAGTATTTCATTTTTGGCAGTTCTCATACAACATTTAGTTTCTTCTCAAACGCATAATAATGTCACTTCGGCCTTGTGCCATGTAGGTAACGATTCAATTTGTAAACTATTTTTAGACAAACTTTTAACAAATTAAAATTCTCACTCTTTCAAAAGTAGTGTTGTTGTTTTTTTCCAGCGTTCTATGAGTTTGTTCTGACACAATAAAAAAAATTTAAATTAAATCATTTTATCCATGACACTGTCTGGTTCTCTAGATTTGGCAATTGTAATGGATCTGCTGTTTTTCCTGGTTAAAATGTTTGCTTGGGACACACCAAAATGGAAAATTATTAAACTAACTATAAATGTGTTGACAGAACTGTTTGTTTCCCAGTGAACTGTGTTTATCTAGCATCCATCTTATTTCATAGTAATTACCTCTTCATAAATGTAGGGCACACCATGCAGGAGCTGATAGGGCGATGCTTCATGCGAGCAGCGTGTCATGGTACTCTCCTGAAAAAAAAGCGAGTCCAACTGACAAACTGAACCCGGCCCATTTGTGAAGTAGTCCACCAGGGCAGCCTTGTGCTCTGCCACCTCCTCTGGACATAGTGTCTGTGGGTGAAAATACACAATTGCCATGGTGTGGCCCTGCTTATTGGTTCTTATGGTGATCTCTCTCCAGTGCCCCCCGGTGTGAAACAAAAGGCAGGGCTCGAGGGGAGACAGTCGGAGGAAGTCCTGATAGCATCTAGCCACCAGTTTGTGCTTCTCAGGCATGTTTAGCAAGTGGTCTCCATTCACACAGACAATTTTGTTGGATCTGGCTGTTCCAACATAAAACCCAACCGTCTTTGTGTTCCCATCTACGCCTCTATTAACAGAAAACGTTGACTTGTTCCTGTATCCATTTTGAACTGGAGAGGGCAGGATAGGTAGAACAGGGAAGTTGGGTTGTCCTTTAACGCATGGTGACCGAAGATCTAGTTTAAGATGTTCACAAAGCTGGGAGAGAATTGCTTCTTGGCGTTTTTGCTTTACTCCAAGTTGCTCCTCATAGTTCAGTTTCCACAATGGGGTGACCACGTCTGCCAGTCTTTCCTCCCAAGACACATGTTCAGATATAGGAGGTTTTTGTCTCTTCTGATGATGCTTTGACAGGAGTTGCCTCTGACAGTTGGTTGAAAACAGTACATGTGCAGTCTTGACAGAATGCCAAGTTATATGATTAGCAAACACGTATGATCTATCTACTAATAGTGCCATATGGATGCTAGAGAAAGATACGCCTTCAATTCATGTGATTAAACGTATGGCTCTTCCAAATAAAAGATAATTTCGTAAATTCGTAAATACTTGACACATGCAAGTTACATTACCTTGAGCGTGTGACGAAATAGTGTGCGCTGGGGCTGTCTACGTCATCGAAACGCGTCTGTGGGCAGGTAAACATTTCCGCTGTGTCGCGATGGATTCAAACAAGGACGAAGCGGAGCGATGTATTAAAATAGCCCAAAATGCCATCAGCAACAACCAGCCGGACAAAGCTAGGAAGTTTTTGGAAAAGGCCCAGCGTTTGTTTCCGACAGAGCACGCCCAAAGTACGTCAAATAAGAGCATGTTTTAGGAGTGGAGTGTTGTAAAATGGTGGGCCTACGATGTGAAACCAAATCGGCTGCTGTTAGCAACGTCAGCACTTAGATCTTGTTATCTCACCCCACATGCATGTCAATTTGTTGAGAAAAACTCTAAAATATACGTATTTCTGTATGCTGTTGAATATTGAAGTTTTATGTGATCCCATTTCTCATTTGTTTTAACTTGGGAGGCTACAGGCTAACGTGAGACGCTAACATAGCTTATATTGCTAAGGTGATTGTTTACCTAATGTGTTGTTACTTATTATCTTGCAGGTTTACTGGATTCACTAACACAGAATGGTAAACCTCCAAGTGAGAATGGAGCTACGATGAACGGTGAAGGGCCGTCAGTGAGACACAGAGGCCACACGGAGGAGGCAGAGGGCTCGGGGCAGGCCCACACCGAGTCTGCTAAACCCTACACCGCAGAGCAGCTGGAAGCGGTCAGAAAGTGAGTGCATTTCATCCAGGTGCAAAAACTAACCGGGTTTATAGAAGGCCATTTTCCGCTACTAAAATGAGACGTTGTTTCTGTTTTGGGGGTTTGCTCTAGTTCAGTATACAAAACAAACTGGTTGCATGCTAATGAGCATGAGTGTAATAATACACTTGATCTTATCTGTCTCTGTTATTACGGTTGGATTTTGCCTTTGGACTGAGTAATTACAAATGATAACTCATTCTGCAACAGATTATAACGACAGAGTGATGTTCTAATTGTAAGATGAATGCAGTGTGGATAAGCAAAAAAGCACAATAATCCTAAATAGGATTAACCATGCTGCATGCTGTATGACACAAGGCTGAACGATTTGTGAAAATCTTTCTGACAATAATACTAAGTATTGCAATTGCAAATAGATTTGCGATTTATGTTTTTAAAAACAAATTTAATAATCGGATTTTGTTCAAAGTTCACACATTTGTAGAACAATTGACAAAAAGACAGTTTGTACAGATCTAAACTACAGGGCTAGCCGTTTTTATTCAGAATATGACTGAATATTTGGTTGTTGGTTGGGAAATTGCAGCTTTTGTGATATGTCAGTTCCATCAATTAAAAATTAATTGATTCAGTAATGATTAATTGTGCAGCCCTAGTAGCATAAATTTAAATTTGGATGAATGCCAGTTTTTAACATGTGCCTTGTTAATGCTTGTTCCAGAATTAAGAGCTGTAAAGATTACTATCAAACTCTCGGTGTAGAAAAGACTGCATCAGAAGAAGACCTGAAAAAGGCTTATAGAAAATTAGCTCTGAAATTTCATCCGGACAAAAACCATGCACCTGGAGCCACAGAAGCTTTTAAAGGTACCTACAAATACATACACTTAATTCTGTATGTTTAATTTTGATCAAATAAAAATAAATGTGATCTGATTTATGTCAGCCATTGGAAACGCCTATGCTGTGTTGAGTAACCCTGATAAAAGAAAACATTATGACCAGTATGGGGAGGAGAGTGCACAGCCAAGCAGCAGACACAGACATCACCATCGCGAATTTGAAGCGGACATCTCACCTGAGGATCTCTTCAATATGTTCTTTGGTGGTGGCTTCCCAACGAGTAAGTTCTGGACAAAAGCAATGTTTAAACTGATGTTTGAGAATTTGATTATTTTTAAAAAAATTACTTTTGGTAAACCAAAAATATTACTCTTTGGTTGAGGTAGACCGAGAAATCTACAAATGTTGCATCTGATCATTTTTGTCAGGATTTGGGTCCAATTATGTTTACGATACTAACATTTCAAACTCTATCTTTTGCAGTTTCGAAATAACTCAATACTCAATATCCATTCTTATTCCACAATGATAATAAAAACACTCTCTCTTTAGATAACACAATGTGATTTTCAACATTTCTTTAAATTAACATATAGTTTTTATCTGTGTAATCCCTTAGTCGTCCAGGTATGTTCCATAGTGGTCTTATAAGTGTTCTCATACAGCTCAAGATAATTCTAAAGATATGCAGGAAAGGTTCATTTCTGTCCTGTAAATGTGAGTTTTTTAGAATTGATACCTGCTCAAATGAGTATCTAATTTTCTGTACTTTTTACCACAATTTTCTAGTAAATACAGTCATTCATAGCTTTGTGATCGATCAGCACCACTACTTTTACCACTGTACTGCAAAAAATCACATTACGGTATTTCATTTGTGTACAAACTAATCATGTTACATAGCATTTGCTTTCTGACACATTAGAATTTCAGAATTTTTGCTTCCTAATGTATACTTCTTTTATGACACCACATAACGCCAGTACAATGTTATTTTCAAATCAATTAATTATCCTTTCTTTTGTTTCTAGGTAATGTACATGTTTACAGAAATGGAAGAATGCACTTTGGTCATCACAATACACACGAAAGAAGAGAACAGCAAAGAGATGTACTTTGCCTTGTTTCTATTTTAATTGTTTTCCTTTTGATTGTATTGTAATTGCTAATCAATATTCATTTGTTTTTCAATAGGGAGGTCTGGCTCTTTTTGTCCAGCTGATGCCCATCCTAATCCTCATCATTGTCTCCGCTTTAAGCCAATTGATGGTGACGCAGCCTCCCTATAGCCTTAGCTACCGCCCGTAAGTAGTCACACAGCTATCTAGAGAACACAACATGTATTTATTTATGCTTAAGGGTCAGAAGAGTAAACACTATTGAATTGCAATTGCACACAATTAGCAAATTGCAAAGCCTAACATTTCTTATAGGTGCTTTATGCAACTTTTCTGTTGGAGGGTCCGCTACTTACTTATCTCCTTCTCTCTGCTTTGCCTGGATTATTCCATGGTATGACATTAAACACATCCAGCTAGCATTTATTCATTACTGTGTTTCTATTGCTCAAAAATACAATTCTTTCTGCGAATAGTGGGTGACTCTCCACAAATCTGAATTGCAATGTAGCTGTAACTTGCTTGTCTCCCATGTGATAGGTTTAATCTATACTGTGGAACATTCTAGACAAAGCAATAACATTTCCATGGAATGTGGCAGACAGGTGGCAGACCCTCCGCTAAAAGTGTTTCGCAGTGCACCTTTTAAAAAGTATGATACTTCTTCACAAACAACACAGTATCCAGTCTTATTCTGCATAAAAACTGCTAAACCTGTCGTTTAGATTTGGACAAATATGCTCTGAAATGTGTTTTTTTGCATTAGTTTTTACAAATTAAAAATTTATTGTCTGAAATGCAATTTTAGCATCTGACCATTATGCAATCAGCAAGTGTAACATAAAAAATTTTACATATTACTGAACATTATAAAACAGAGGTATGTATAACAGGAGCAGTGCTTATTATTGCATTTACATAACTAAAGTGCATGATAAAGTTATAAGATATTTTAAAGTGTCTATTTGTCAAGTCTCCTGGATGGGTTTTAAAATGTGAACAAAATTGAAATTATTAAAACATAAATCTACTTGTAATGTTTGTCAGAAAAATCATTACCAAATGACATATTTTTTTTACCAAATTGTTCAGACCTAATATGTTTACCTATTTTGCCTGTTCTACAACAAATGAAACCTCTTGTCCTTACCATAGGTCAGCTGGACATATTCACAAAAGGCATACATCAAGCCTGAAAGTGCTTTACTATGTGGGAGAGCGCTTCAATGAAGAGTATACCGGAAATAACCTGAAGAATGTGGAGAGAAGTGTTGAAGAGGACTTTATCTCTAACCTCAGGAACAATTGTTGGAAGGAGAAACAGCAGAGTATGTTAAATTACAGTCTTTGTCTTTTCCATAATGCATTTCTTTTGTGCAAAGTATTAGATAAGTCCCCATTTTACAGAAGCCTTGTTTTATTTCAACATCTGCTCCACCTGTTATTTTCAAAATGTTGTAAGAAAAGTAAGGGTATGTTTACACTAGCAAGTACATTCTACATTGCAAAAAATGAATTTAGAGGAATGAGTTTTACTGCTCCCATTGGCCAATTTATTTTCTTATTTTAAGATGTATTATCTTGGAATCGGTCAGATATGTCATGAAACGAGTGAAAATTGGTACGTCCCACAAACAACTAAATCTCATTTAGTCAAAACTACACAAATCCACGTCTCATTTTATATATATGTAAATATATGCGTGTATATATATATATATGTATATATATATATATATATATATATATATATATATATATATATATATATATGTATATGTATGTATGTATGTATATATGTATGTATGTATGTATGTATGTATTAGGGATGGGCATTCGATGAAATTTTCTTAATCGATCGTCGAGAGAATTAACGATCGATTATCGATTAATCATTAACGTTTTTATATTAAAATTATCATCATTATTATTACTAGCTGCACTCCTAATCTGCATAAATAAAGTCAACTTTACGACAAATAAACCGTAACGACTCTAGAGCCACATCAGCCCGTTTATTATAATGTGTTTAATTCAGTTTTGCGCAACTCTCACAGAAACGAAACTTAAACCCGCATCGCTAATTTGCATAAACTCAGCGAAGATAAAAAACTACAACTCTTGTGCGCTGATGCGGTCAATTTCTGTCGGATTAAAAGACACGACTCAGTGGAATACAGGTTAGTGTGACCATATTTGCGTTTGTCAAAACCAGGACACCGTACGGGGGGAGGGAGGTGGAGCCTCGTCATCGACATTGCGCGACTCTCACCTGGTAAAGCTTTTTCCCACTGGACACCGAAACATGTGCTGCTTTGTACACTGCACATGGACTCACACTTGTCCCGACCGGAACGGAAAGTGTGGAATTTCTTGTACAAGTCATCTTTAAATACGCATATGCACTTCGGTACGTTGCAGACTGACCGACTGTTTGTGTTTGCTCGCTCCTTCTGAGTGCAGAGAGACACATGTACGGACCCCTGTTTGGTCACGCTACGCACAGCAACCTACACTCGGTTTGTCGATAAAAAATATACGTAATCGATGAAATTCTTAATGATCGATTAATCGACTAATCATGCCCATCCCTAGTATGTATGTATGTATATATATGTATATATATATATATATATATATATATATATATATATATATAATATTACATACACATAAGGCCTAACAAAAAAGCTACATAGTGCAGACTGTGTTATTTTGATAGTTAAAGACAAGTGAACAAGTAAAATAATCCTACTAATAATGTATCTTGTTTTTGTTTCAGAGGAGGGTTTATTGTACCGAGCTCGTTACTTCGGAGATTCTGAGTTGTACCAAAGGGCGCAGAGGATGGGGACTCCAAGCTGTTCCAGATTATCTGAAATTCAGGTCATGCTGGACGGCTAAAAACCACTGGACACACATGGGTAAGTGATTCCAAACATGACTCACTTTATTTACTGGTAACACTTTAGTTTAGGGTACATATTAATTGCCAGATTGTGGTATTAATGAATTAATATGTGGTATAAATTGTGGTGGTCTTTGTTAGTGTTTATTAAGCATGTATTCAGGATTTATTCTGTATTACTGTTTTAACAACTCTTAAGATATTATTTTTCTAATTAATTAAAAGGTTTTATATGTCATTCATCGTGCATGTTTGTTTAATTTAGTGATATCTCCCGAGACCTATTCAAACCCTTCTTACAGTTAGTAGTACTATTCTGTCCAATGCTCAACCGTCAAGCCTACGTTATCCATCCTCCCCCTCGACAATTTTCCTTAAATATACAAAACAATACTCTACAACTTCATAAATCTGATGTGATGTGCAGTAGTTCCACTACATCGAAATGGCAGCTTTCTGAAAGGGGAGAGGCAGCTTGAGCAAAGGCATAGGGGACTTTATTTTTTGTAGATACGGGCCCTCTTTAACTTTTATCTGAATAAGCAATAATAATGCTTTATAAACACTATCCAAAACCTGAAAAACCTTTAAGTAACCACCACTAACAGTTGCCACTTAGTGATTTGTATGTGGTCCCTAAACTTAAGTGTTACAATTTATTCATACAAATAGTCAGTCAATCATTCAGATGTTCTTGAGTACATGATTCTACAATATTCTAAATCCAAATCCACTTTATGTACATTTTACAAACAAAGCAGTTTCCAAAGTGCTGCACAGAAATCATAAAATTAAGACAATAAAAGGTAAATTGAAAATAATTTGACCATACCATTCCTAAAACAATAAAACCAGTAAAAATCTAATAAAAGCAAAATCATAAAAATAATAAAATAGCAATAAATAAGTATTGTAGGTCTTAAGATGAGACTTAAAACACTCCACTGTGGGGGCTGTTGGACATGGACAGGCAGAGCTTAGGGCCGGCCACAGAGAAGGCCCTGTTTTTCCTGATTTTAAGTCTCATCTTAGGCACCACAAGCTGAAGCTGGCCCTCGGACTTCAGAGCGCACGCAGGGGTGTAAAATTGGGGGGAGGTTCAAGATGTATTGTGGGGCCAGTCCATTCAAAGCTTTAAAAACAAACAATAAAATCTTAAAATCAGAAGTTTTCAATATCAGTTCATTGTGCTTGTGCTCTTCAGTTTATAGACTTTACAGATAACATTGAGGCAACCTGTGTCCAGTTGACATCTATAATGTGATGGAGTCAGCTGTGTTGTCTCTGCACATAGATCCTTTTCATTTCACAACCACATCCAATAACTTGATACCTCTCACATAGATTAGTAGATAATGGCTCTGTACATGTGGATATTGTATGTGGGATTTCAAGGACACATACACTACCAGGCAAAAGTTTTGAGTCATCCTCTATATGTTTACTACTTTCTACATTTGATATATCCTACATACAGAAGACTCTACTAAATATATATATTTTTATATTTTAACCAAATCCTCTTTCTTTACTAAATAATTCCATATATTGTGGTACATATAAATGATGGCCAAATTTTTGACTGGTAGTATATTGAAATACAAATTATTACTCTTTTCTGTGTTGATATAATGATGATGATGTATTGTTACGATATTTGTAGAGCTGCAAGATTAATCAGAAGTGACTCAGAATTTGAATGGACACTACTAGTAAATTGCAAAGACAGCAGTTTCTGAAGTACGGTCATTTCCTCCACAAACAGCAAAGTCTTATTCTGCATAAAAACTGCCGAGCCTGTTTAGATCTGTTCAAACATGTTCCAAGATGTGATTATTAATTTGTCAGTCCATATTTCAGTGTTTTTGTCAATTCTCCTGATTGCATTGTAAGTGTGAAGTTTGAACAGCATTCTATTATTATTAAGTATAGTATCTAATCACATTTATAGTGCCTAACAGAAAAATCACAAAAAGTACCAGATGTTTGTTCCTCAAAATCATACCAGGAGTTGTTTAATTTCTCTGTTGCACCTTAATAGGCACTTGCTCGAGAATTGAGGTTTCATAAGTATAATTTAACATAATATACTTCAGTATAGTTTATTTGAAGTAATATTATAAGACTAGGATTGAGCAATTTGGAAAGGGTAACTAATTGCAATTTTTCTTACAAGCATTGCAATTGAGAGTATATTTGGATTTTATGTGTTAATGTTGGAATTCTGTTCAGAGTTCACATTTTAAACACATCCAGAAGAAGAGAATGGAACTGACAAACAACTCGCATTTAAGAACACGTTTGTACAGATCCAGACCCCATGGAGTCATAGGGAGGGCAGCTGACACAAAAGGAGGGCAGCTGACAAACAGGGAGGGCAGCTGACACACAGAGACATTTCACAGCATGTTCGTACAGATCTAAACTATAGTTCAGCCATTTTAATGCAAAATAATAATAAGAAGTAATATGTTGTTGTTTGTGGATACAATTATTATACTTAAAAAAAACTGCAGTCTTTGCGATTTGCTAATTGCGCTCATTATAATTGCAGCTTTGTTTTGATGCTGCCTAATTGTCATTTCGAAATGCTTTACTCATCCCCGCTGATATTGACAATCCAAGCTTCAAGGATTTTTTGTCATTGTCACTTGTAACAACAAAATTACACATATAGCATTTAAACAGTAGTGTGGCCAATGCAATCAGTATCAGTGCAATTCATAAAGTGCAAATACAGGATGTAAATATATAGACTAAAGGTACTAATAGGAGTAACACAACAGCATGACAAAAAGCCAGAGGTTGATACAGCAGTAGAAGAATCAAATGAGTTTATTACATCAAATTAAGAGTCCAGTTATATTACACTGTTTCTGTTCTATGTTATAATGTTGTTTCCTCATCAAAAACATACCTGGAGTTGTGTTTTGTTTCATTTATACATGTTTAACACAGAATCCCTGCATATTTAGGCTTTAGCTTTGGAAATGTAGACAGCCAAATAATACATGTGTGAATGAAACAAAACACAACCCCAGGTATGTTTTGCACAAATATAGGAGTTTTAGGTGTTAATATTCTGAGTTTATAGTTCACAGTTATGGCAGGTGTGAAGAGTGGAGAGAGTTATAGGGGACTGAGGTGGAAAGAGAGGATAGAAAAGGGACCGTGCTTGTTGAGGAGTCTGATAGCCTTGATGCTGATTTACAACTAAACTAAAACTAGCCTTCCCTTATCTTCCAGGTTTGTTGGTACTTGAATCTGAAAGAATGCCCACTCACCAGGAGCATATTATGTTAGCAAAAACCAAGAGAAGAAGAGATGCCTTACTCGCAGTGGGCAGCAGACCTCATCAGGGAACCTCTCTGCAAATCTGTAGACGGACTTCCTGTAGAACTGTGAGACGCTTGAGTTGACTGCTGATATTTTTTTACTCTTCAAGATCCCATGTCCATTGATGTCGAAGAGGCGTAACTACATAAATAAAAACGTTTATTTAAAGGTGCATTGTGTAACTTTTCTGGTCGAGGCAGGGTCTGTCATCTGCTTGTTTCTATGGAGATGTCATTGCTCTGCCTGGAATGTTCTACAATACAACATTAAACAGTTACATTTATTCAATTACAGGTGGGTTTATAGCTCAAAAATACCTAGAAAATCTGATCTAGCTTGTAAATTGGTTAACTTCACGAAGATGGAAAGATTTAATGCCATACTGTGAAACATTCCAGACAAAGCAATAACACCTCCATGGAGAAAAGCATTTGACAGACCTTCCATCAGAAAAGTTAAACAATGCACCTTTTAAAAAGATTGACAAAGCTGCTAATTTAAGCTTTCTCTGTCCTGAATCTTCGTTCTACCTAAAACTTTAGAGAATTCTCCCTGGCCTCCTGTTCACATACTTCTGAGCCACTCAAATGAGAAGCGTGTAATTTTTATAGTTCTTGCCATGTATATATACATTTTACTTTTAACAGTGCAGGATTTATGGGATTAATATAATTTAATATGCTGTTATTATGTGGATTTGCCTGTAGCTGTAGTATCAGAAATCATTGCACAATTAAAAGTAAATCTTATTTATTAAATTAACATGCTAAATTTAATATGTTTCTTTCATTAAAAACTGTCAAATTATGACTGGTGGACTTATTCTTTTTATGTGTGCACTAACTTCTATCTACATCTATGAAGCATCAGCAGCATTACCCATTAACGTAATAAATGAGGTTTCATCTTATACAAAAATAATTTATTTCAAAAGCATCAAATATACAGATCACATGTGACCATATATAAGTATCAAATACAATGCCATCCACATGATTGGGATTTCACATTCTCAGAGAAGACAGTGTCTTTGTTATGTTGGCTCCTGTCAGAGCAAGGAGGGTCCCTTGCAGGTAAGTGTGTGTAGTAACAGTTCAGATACACTTTTAAGTGAATGACATTAGTGCATTCATAATAGTTTTTGTCCAGGTGTGATCAGGACTATAGTGCTCTGTCAGCAGCACTCCTCTATGAGCAGCTCTCCTGAACAGTACAGCTTCTTCTTGATGGCTCTGAAGCTGTGGCTCAGTCTGAGGCTGGGCCTGTGTTTTGTGGGGGTTTGTGGGGACTGGCTTCCCTTTAAGAGCTTCTGGACTTTGGGCCATAGTCCTCTCGACTCCTGCCTCAACACCAGCGTCACCTGAAAGGTGGGCACCACATAAGAGTCCACTGCGATTTGGTCCACTATACATAAGGAGCTCTGGTCCCCTCTGTCCACGCACAGGTCCACCAGTGCCCCTCTAAGGCCACACGGCTCACTGAGGGCCAAGTGGACCAGCTCCTGGCCGATGTTGTGCATCAGACAGTCGGGCACAATGAGTTTAGTGCAGCCCAATAAATGTGACGCTTCACTCAGGCTTTGTGCGATAGCAGCTACAGTTTCAGAGGCCAGAGACTCCTCCAGAGGATAGAAGCAGTCATTACTGTCAGTGTCAGACAAAGACAAGTCCGCTACAGAACCTAAACACAACATAAGAAAAACAAGTTAGGTTTGTATAAATCACGATCACTAATTAAGGGCTATTTAAAATGATTTATAGCTTGTGAATGAATACTTGTGACAACATAAGCCCATTTGCATCTACCTATTTGCATGTACTCTAGGTTAAATGCCTGTTTTAAGCAAAACCAAATATTAAATGTTTGAAGACTTACCAGTTTCACTCCAGTTGCACTGTTCTCTTTGGTTCCCCTTGAGTTCCACTAGTTTATGCAGCAGACTGCTCCAGGACAGTCTATTCAAAGCCCTGTCCTCAACAGGTGAAGGTGGAAAGCTGCCGTCCAGAGACTGATTGCAAGAAACTGGCATATTTATAAAATATGCTTAAAAATACTCCGGGTGTATAAGAAAACAAGTGCTATATTTGGTCGCCTCTACAGTTGATCCCTTCCCCGGAGCCAGACCAGCTGGAAAGTACAATCTGCAACAATGGAACAAAGCATTAAATACATCTGAAAGGCCCCGCCCCCTGCATTTCTCGGCCAATCAGCTGTAACCGCACGTACCCAGCGATCCGGTTTGCCTGGTAACATTTGGCCCTTTGATGTCCCCTGGCCCCTGACCCAGGCGTCTCCAGGCTGGCCTCCCCCCACCTATACAATTAGCATTTTTACACTTAAATATGTTTTTTTTTATTGTTAATTTTCTGTTGCGTGTGATGACTTGTGCAACACGCCGTTAGTCGTCACCCAAACAGACGCACCTTTCGATTGGCAAAAATAAAATAGAAATGAGGAAAGACAAAAGAGACGCGTCATGAAAAGTGATTCCCCCCGGCGGGTTCCCCAAATGACACGTACGCCACGTAGCTCGCGTCTCTGTGACTGGACGCGTGAGTCTTCACCCGTGTTTATACCAGTTAGAAGTTCACGAGAATAATTTCAACATTTGGGAAACAGCACTGACAAATTCTGACTAAGGCTGCATTGCAAATGATTTGAACACACGGCTTTTTGAAAATGAACTACTCAGCTAAAATACAAGCATCGCGTTTGCATCCATACGCTAGCCCAGTGTTAATAGACAGAATAAGTCTGCAACAAGCGTCAGATGAACTTAATTGCAAAAATAAAATAATTGTTTCATGGTAAGTCATTATGTTTTTGTTACACTTTAGCCCTCTTTAGCTCCTGCATGAAGGTACACCCATCGGCTTCTATGTGCTAAATGGTTTAGAGTGGGTGTCTGCCTTGTTTATTTTGTGTTTTTCAGGATCTACCCACAATGTTAAACAGTGTCGGTCAACTTGGCGACACTACTCTAATTTATTTTTAGCATTAGGTAGTGTATATACGTGCTATTCTGGAAAAAGTAGTGTACAGAGAGATGGAAAAAAATAACAAAGGAAAAACAAAGAAGAAAAGAAAAAAGCAAGAACAAATCTAGGCAAATTGCGTTCTCAGCAGTAGGTAATGGTGATGATAGGCGTCAAAAAGGCACAAGCGAAACTTTTCACACATTTGGGTCCCTGCGTTTTTTAAGAACACGTCCACGCTTAACCATCCCCCTTCCAATAAGACACTCACCAGGACTTTTAATTCACTTTCATTATAGCAGCCTATAGCCTGCAGCTTTAACCTTTAAATGTGGTAGCCAAATAACTTTTCCACTACTTAATTACGAACTTTATGGGCTGATATTTTGTGTTGAGCAATTTGAGCAGTTGAACATAATTTATTCATAGAGCTATAGACATACAATGCTATAGGCTAATCCCACCTTCAACAATCTGAAGTAGCCTAACTTTGCAGTGAATATTAACATTTCTCAATAACAAGTGAAAAATAATGAGTTAACCATCAATACATTCATGCATATAGGCGTATAGGCTATATAGAATAAGTTGTATTGATGTATTTTGTGTCATTTTGGGCCCCTTCTATAAGATAAGGCAGCTTCTGGGGGGTTGCCTTTTGCAAAACTTTCATATAAGTAAATGTATGAGCTGTTTTCTAATCATTTGTTAATAAATTGATTCATATTAAAATACAAATGATCTAATGTAATTGTTAACACAGGGTTCAGAATCATCAATGGACCGTAATGTACAAAAGCACCATACGGGGGCGTCCTTGCAGCATTCTCAGGTGAGGCTCAGGAGACGTTGGGAGGCTGATTTCCACAGTTGTCACGTATTTGCATGTGCGTTGTGTCTGGGTGCACTTAGTATCTGAACGTGCACAACAACATTTTGACTTCCACTAAATAATCCTACACTTTTTGCGCAGTGCAGCCACAAGTCACGCTCCTCCTTTTCTGCACCTGCATCCAAACGTGCCCTACTTTTGTGCCATGTTGCAGTTTAGTCTAACGATTATTTGTAACGCGTCACGGAAAAGAAAGGCGTATGGAAATGTAGAAATAACGCGTGACAAAAGCTGCGTTTTACAATTCAAACTAGCCTCAGAGTGTTGTCAACTGCCTCTGGCTTTCTAAAGCAATGTAATAGCACTTAATGAGATGTTAAATGTGAATCCTCTTTCTTTTTTATTGATTTTTGTATTGTTATAATTAAATTTCACCCAGGCAACATGTCCATTATGAGTGTTAAGAGGACTGCACCCATATTTGAATAAGCTGTGATAATGTATGCCTCTTAATGTTATGAAAACACTTGTGTGGTTAATTAATTCACATTGAGTAAAGGGGGTCTGAGCATTGTGGTGGGTAGCTATAGCAACAGCATGCACTACACAAAGTACTAAACTGCTGATAGCCTTAAAATGTTTTGTTGTTTACAGCAACTTGCTGTTAGGAATAAGTAGTACGCATAAGGAATTATAAGTAGTTACATTTATACAGGTATTTGAGATTTAAAGGGCCCATATTATGCTATTTTCTGATCTATGTTTTAATTGTTTCTTCATCAAAAACATACCTGGAGTTGTGTTTTGTTTCCACTCATGTTTAACACACAAACCCTGCATATTTAGACTGAGTCCTTCTTTCCAACAGAAAACACTCTGTCCCACCTTGTGATGTCATGTGGTAATACAAGTGTCCCACTGTGTTTTTAAACTGCATACACCTTCACTAGAATCATTTGGATAATTTCAGCCCTGGAATTGCCAATCTTTATGAAACAAAAGGTAAAAGATAGTTGTTCATTTGAAAGCTACCACTACATGACATCACAATGTGGAACAGAGCATTTTGAGCTTTGAAGATGTATACAGACTAATAATAAAAGGTTACTAAAATGTGTGAATGAACCAAAACATAACTCTGGGTGTGTTTTTGACCAGCTAACAGCATTATAATATGTCTTAAAGCTATCTATCAATCTATACACTATAATATAATAATAATCTAATAAGTAGACATTACCGATTGCCTTGAAAAATCTGACTAAAGTGAACTGTGAATCTAAAACTGACCTTACAAGTAATTCCTCAGTGTAGAGCATCTAACTAGGCACAGCAAGTTAAGTGTACTTTAGTTTTCATTTATAAAACTCATGTTGTGAAACTGTGCCAATGAATCAGTCAGTTCCTCAAATCTGAAATATGTAGTAACTTTTACTTTAAAAGTAAATTAATCTTATTGAAAAAACCTAGGAAACCAATTGCCTGTGACTGAGCAAGTAAATGTTACTTATATACACAAGTTAGAGTAAAAATAGGTTCTATTCCACAATAATGCCTTTCCTTAGATGATGCTGTGTAAGGATTTGAATATTTATTAGTTTTTGGGGGGAAAAATAGCAAAAGGTTTGTTCAGCTTAAGTTCAAAACACATCGAAACGTGTAACAATAAAATAATATAGCTCGGTCATTCCATGTCAACTCAACCAAGACCCCCACACTTAGGTCACAAAAATGCTGGAAGAAACAAAACAGGTGTACAGGTGTAATTGAGCACAGGCCTAATGCACAGAGGAAGTATATATAGACTGCCCTGGGATGTTTAGGGAATGAGTGGCAGCTGTAGGAAAAACAGGGAGGTAGCAAAAGGACCAGAACAGAACAGACAGGGAAATGGAGCTGGACTCTTGGCAATAACACTGTTGAAGTTTGTCTCATTCAAAGTTGAACTTAGTCTAATAGACAAGTAATGTGCTTTTTTTGCCCTGAAATGTTACTTTATCACAATCATTAAGATGCACAAATTTGTAGCTGTGAGTAAAGTAAACTAGCTGAATGCAAGTTAACCCTAGTGTTAGATTTTATAATGTATGGACTGTTCAGATCAGTAGAGAGGCAATCCCGGTCACAGTAAGAATGTATGTTTTTCACAGTCCATTAGAGCTATAAAAACACTCATAAAGTAATAAATAGATTGATCAGTAGAAGTTTTATGCCATACTGTGTAACATTCCAGGCAAAGCAGTAACATTTCCATGGAGATAAGCAGGCGGCACTCTCTCCACTAGAAAAGTTATAAAGTGAACCTTTAAATAATATTAAAAGTGGTTGTTTCTGTACCAATCTGTCCTCTTTAATTTGTCGTAGAGAAGTACAATTCTTGCTTTCTTTACTAAAACTCTACCTATATCCGCAGCTTTGACAGCATGATCCCACCTAAACAAGACCTAAAGTACATTCTAATTTTTCTTTCTATAGGCCATCGGAATCTCTTGTTTATCCGTAGCCCTGCGCTCTGACAGGACAGGGGCTGTGTTGTGTTCCTGTCTGTGCTCCTTCCTGCGTCACCTGGACTGGGAGAGCCTGCACCGTTCCATTTGGGCTTTGATTTATTGCTGGGGGAAGCAGAAACAGACCTGCGTTCTCAAGGGGGGAGAGTAAGTACAAATGGTGAGATTTTGGCAACTTCTGCTGAGGCCCACTCTTCTTTATCAAAGCGTTACCAACTCACAACTCTGCACACAATGTCCTAATATACATGTCCAGGAAGTACACAGTTGTAGGAGCTGTTGTGGCTGATATTGCAACTGAATTCAAGCTGTTTTCAATGGCGGACAGAGGACGGGATAATTAGTACAATGGTATACGCTAGGGCAGGGGTCCCCAAACAACAGTCCAGGGCCCTACAGGACAAAATATATATCCTTATAAGGAGTTTTGCTTCATTTTTATAATCTACTACCACATCTATCTGTATAAAAACAGTAAGGCATTAGTTTGTCAACCCAATTTGTATATATCTGTGTGTTTTAATCTGAAAATCTATTGCAATACTTAACCTGATAAACAGCAAACATGAGTACCTTAAGAGTTTTATACATTTTTTGCTATTATTACTTGCCTCACACCCTTCATTGGTCCCTGAAAAATATTTTATGTTTATTAATAGTCTTTATGAGAAGAAAGTACTGTTTGGGGTACAGTGCCCATATCAAGGATGAGACCTTAAGTTGAAATATGGGTCCTAAACACAAGGAGACCATGGTTATAGCTTTGTCTGAGATGTTCCACTGTATGGCATTAAACTTATTTATTATGCATTTAAGATATGGGACAA